GTGGTTTTCTAACATAAATCCCAATAAAACATAATGTCTTCAAGAAGAGGTGCAGTGCAACAGATCATTTTCAGAAATTAACGTTTGGAGGCCAAGTGCAGTGGCTCATACCTGTAATTCCAGTACTTTGGGAAGCTGAAGCAGGATGATTGCTTGAGCCCAGGAGTTCGAGACCAGCCTGAGCAATACAGTAAAATCTCATTTCTACAAAAACCTTAAAGAATCAGCCAAGCGTGGTGGTTCGAACCTGTAGTCCCAGCTACTAGGGAGGCTGAGGTGGGAGGATCATTTGAGCCCAGGAGGTGGAGTTTGCAGCGATTGAGCCACTACACTCTGGCCAGGGAGTCTCAAAAAAAAAAAAAAGGAAAGGAAGAAAGAAAATAAAGAAAGGAAGAAAGAGAGAAAGCGAGAGAAATGAACATTTGGATCTTCAAAAAAATTACCAGCCCTGGTATTATACTCAGAATTAAATACAGTGCTCTTAGCACATTGGGCAGCACTTTTGGGATGCGACGTTGTACTTCCAAAATTCCTTAATGTATCTTCCCTTGTTCCTCTCCCCCGACCCCAGCAGATTCATAGTTTGGTAAATTACCCAGCTCAAGCCCCATCTCTGTCAGAAAGGAGTTCACTCTTTCTCTACTTTTCTCACCATCATCATTTTCTTGGTTCTGGGATCCTACAGCAGAAAACATCAAAGGGAAACTTTGTGGTCCGGGTACAGTGACTCATGCCTGTAATCCCAGCACTTTGGGAGGCCAAGGTGGGTGAATTTTTTGAGGTCAGGAGTTCGAGACGAGCCTGACCAACATGGTAAAACCCTACGTCTACTAAAAATACAAAAATTAGCTGGTCGAGGTGGCACATGCCTGTAATCCCAGCTACTTGGGAGGCTGAAGCAGGAGAATTACTTGAACCTGAGAGGCAGAGGTTGCAGTGAGCCAAGACTGTGCCACTGCACTCAAGACTGGGTGACAGAGCTGTCTGTCTCAAAAAAAAAAAAAAAAAAAAAAAAAAGGACACTTTGTGTGTGAGGCAGAAAGCAATTCTGGTGTGTAAATATTTGTCCTTCAGTTACCTGTATTATTTCTCAAGGCATTGTGAAAAATAATAATTGCTAGCCTTCCGGGCCAGCTCCTTGAGCGTGCTGCTTGTACACTGGAATGGACCCACGCTCAGAAGGACCCTGCACTTGGCTTACTACTCTGAGATTGTCATTTTGAATTTCTTAATAAATAGTGAAAGAAGGGCTTTGCATTTTCATATTGTACTGGGCTCCTGTGATCCTGTTAACATTTTAGGGCACTTTCTATGCATCAGACTCCATTCTAAACCTTCACCCTGTTAAACATGAGTGGCTGGAGTACCACCAGACTGTATAAATTTCCTCCATTACTTAAGGTAATTTGCAGGAATCTGTTTCCTTGCCACCGAAAAGTGCTTAACTGAGAGGGGCAGGGGTGACACTTACTCAGCAAGGCCTTCCTAGGCAACCCTGTTTTAAAAAGTAAAAACAAGACCGGGGGTGCAATGCCTTACACCTGTGATCTCAGCACTTTGGAAGCCGAGGCAGGCAGATCACTTGAGGTCAGGAGCTCGAGCCCAGCCTGGCCAAAATGGTGAAACCCCGTCTCTATTGAAAATAGAAAAATTAGCCAGGCATGGTGGTGGGCGCCTATAGTTCCAGCTACTCGGGAGGCTGACAGAGGTAAATTGCTGGAACCCAGGAGGTGGAGGCTGCGGTAAGTTGAGATCCAGACACTGCATTCCAGCCTAGGCAACAGAGCAAGACTATGTCTCAAAAAATAAAATAAAAGTACATAAAAATCAAAAACAAGAAAAAACCTATTGCATTACTGTTTCTTTCATATCACAAATCTGCAATTATTTTGTTTACTTATTTTCTCATTGTCCCCTCTAGAAATATAAGCTCTATGTTTTTCATTATTGAATTTCAAGCTTCTAGCACGTCTGACACATAACAGGTAATCGAACTTTTTGTTTTGTTTTTCACCTCAGCCTCCCAAAGTGCTGGAATCACAGGTGTAAACTGTCAGGTCTCCAAATGCAAGCCTGGAGCCTGAAAGTCTGAAGTCCTGCTGGCCTCAGCTCAAGTCTCCCACCTCCTGCCTGCATTCGCCATTGTCCCTGATTGCCCAGCTGAGCTTCCTCGGACGAGCCCCTCACCTAACCCTGCCATCTTAACTGTTCTCATGATAAATACCTCTCACCGAACCCCACCACTGTAACTGAACTTACTCTGCAACACCCCCACCCCCCAAAAAACTACCCAAACCTATAAAGCCAACTCCTACCCCACTGCCCTTTGCTAATGCCCTTTTCGGCCTTAGCCCACCTGCACCCAGCTGAATAAACAGCCATGTTGCCCACACAAAGCCTGTTTGGAAGGTCTCTTCATTCAAAGCGCCCTTTTTTTCAACATAAACCACCTTGCCGGGCCCACCATTTTAATAAATTAAGCATGCAAATCTTCCTGGGAAACAAAAATTTTAAATAGCTCTGCTACAGATTGCTACAAACTATCATCACCTGAATCAAATCACTTAATTGTCTTAGATACTGATTGATACAAAACTAATGCTTTTATGGCTTTTTATGAAATAAAAGCTCATTTAATTAAATAGTAGTTGAATCTCTGCTACTTGCTTGGCACTGTGCCACACGCTGGAGGCATTCTAACTAGAGCTCCCCCTTCTCCAGAAGTTGACTCTTATGGAGCAGGTAATGGCTCTCAATAGGGTCTCCAAAGTCAAAACTATACTAAAGATTATTTGCTATTTTCTTGCTCATTCACTTACAAACTGTTAAAAACGCATGCTTTGAAAGAGAAGACTCCCCAAACAGGCTTTGTGTGAACAATATAGCTGTTTATTTACCTGGGCGCATGTGGGCTAAAGGCAGAAAAGGGCGTTGTCGAAGGGCGGTGGGATAGTTGTTTTTTTGTTTGTTTGTTTGTTTGTTTTAAAGAAAATCACTTTATTCTAATTAACTCACAAAGAATAAAATCATAACAGCTAGTTTAAGGAGACCACACAAACATTTGACCAGCTCCAAATTCTACAGAGTAGGAACACTCCCTTCCATTTCAATTCTGAAGCAAGGAAGCTAGGAATGACAGGAGAGGTTTAACTGACGGCTACAATTTATACCTTCACTATCAATTACATTTTTATATTAAATTAACTTGGTTATGAGAGCTGGTTTTCCATTTCTCCAGGTTGAACTTCTTGATTAGGTCAATCCGTTTGCAAGTCGACACTGTTTCAGCACCTCACTGAAACCCTCACAGAGCTTGATGTCACCCTGGTTCTGGGCACACTCCAAGACCTGTTTGATCTCATAGAAGCAAGGCTGCTGCTGCTGTGCCGGCTGGGTTCCCTGAGGCTCCTGGTAAGTGATGTCAGGCCTCGCAGGCTCAGGATCACTTCCTCCACTGAAACCCCCAGTAATGGCGTGGCCCAGTGTGTGCCCCACAGCAGAGCCCACAGCCACGCCAGCTGCAGTGGTTGCCATCTGGGACAGCAGACCTGGCTGCCAAGGCGCAGCAGCAGAGACCCAACTGCAGATGGGGGTGCCGCTGCTGGTGGCTGAGCGGCTGGTGCTGGCCTGGGCGCAGCTCTCCTCTGAAGGGCCCGGCTGGCCGGAGGGGCCATGCGGGAGGTGCGGCTTAGGCTTCCACTCGGCATCCTAGCTATGGGAGGGTGGCGGGGGATGGGGGGGCTCGGCCTTTAGACGTGCAATAACCAGGGAAGAGCTCAGCGGCTTCTCAGGAATTGGTTTTATAGGTTGGGGCGAATCTTTTGGGGAGGGGGCAGGGGTGTTATGGAGTAAGATCAGTTACAGTGGTGGGGGTAGGGGGCAAGGAGTATACATTACTATAAGTTCAGTTACAATGTCGGGTGGGGTAAGAGTAGTTAAGATGGTAGGGTCGGGTGAGGAGTATTCACATTATCATAATAACAATTAAGATGGCAGCTTGGGGTGAGAACCTTAATGTCCGGGGGAAGCTCCTCTGGGCGATCAGGGATAATGGCGAACGCCGCGGGGTAGTGGGGGGTAATCAGCCGAGGCAGGAAGGACTTTAGACTTTCTGGGTCCACGCTTGCACGTGGAGGCCTGACACAAATGTGTTTTCCAGAGGGCACATGTTGTGATGTGTGAAAAAGGGTAGTGGAGTGTGTCAAAGTTTTCTCCATTTTAAGTTCTCATTCAGTAACTACTTATTAATAGGTATAACCCATACTTTAAAAAAAAAAAAGCACTTTGGAATCTTCCATTATCTACAAGAATATAAAGGGGTTCTGAGACAAAAAGTGTTGAGAACCACTGCAGTACAGGTCCGACGCATATCCTAGAAGCCGTCAGCAACAACGAATACACTACAGATGACCACGGATCCTACAGTGTGAGGTCTGGTCCCACCCAGAAGGTTGGGAGCCAAATGCGCGGCTAAGTGGAGATGGCCAGGGTTTGGGTGAGGGGCAAAGGCGGGTTGAAAGCACTGGAAAGACAGGCCCGACTCTGCGCTAGGGAACACACCTCCTTCCTTTGCACACTTAATACAAGAAGCTATAAATCCTTCTCTTGCTGGTCAGGGCATAACCTGGACCAAACGGGATTTTTTTTTTTTTTCTTAATAACACCATGCTTCAATAGTGGAACCAACAAACGGGAAATTTAAGGCAAAATAAAAGCAGAGCATAACTTGGGCTAAAGGGGAAATTTAAGGCAGCCTCTCTAAATCACATAGCTTAAAAATCTGTCCACTTAGTAACAACTGCTAAGTTCGGCCTAAAGACTAAAACACCTGCTTCCTGATTTGGGGGTGGGGATGAAGGGGAGTGCCAAGAAGAAAAGAGCGGGAAAGTGAAGACCAGAAGAAAGAACAGGCTAGGGGGAGGGGAAGAGGCACCGCAAGAAGCCAATGAACAAGACCGAGGCTGAGGCGCGTGCGCCAGTTCTCCGCATGCGCAGGCGCACGTCTGTTGATCTCGCGGGAAAGAACCGTTGCGGGCCCGGCTTTGCGCCGAGGTAGGAGGGGGGAGTGGGGGCGGGAGTGAAGTCTCGCGAGAAGAGGCGGTTGCAGTAGCGGAGCCTTCTGGCCGTGTGTGTGAGGCTTCGGCGTCGGAGCTGCGGACGGTTTGCTGAACCCGTTAGTGCGCCCGGCCGAGACACGCCGCCGCCATGTCTCGCTACCTGCGTCCCCCAAACACGTCTCTGTTCGTCAGGAACGTGGCCGACGACACCAGGTGGGTACAAGGCAGGTACTCCGGGCCTAGGCGGGGAGGCCGCAGGCTCCCGGAGAGGACCCTGGCGGTGGCGGCACGGGGCCGGGGGAGGGGACAGGGCGAAGATGGCGGGTCCCGCTCCCGCTTTGGCGCCGAACTAGGCCGCGTAGCCGGCCTCAGCCGCCGGGTGGAAGTGAGGGCCGCGCCTCTGCCCTCACCCAGCCGCGTGGCGTGGTTTCTCGGTCCCCCTCCCCCTCCGCAGTTCGCAGCCCCTTTTTCCCCGCTTCTTGCCGGCGCGGGCAGCCCCCGCCGCGGCCTTTCCGCCACCCGACGGCCGCTCCCCATTGATTCGAAGTTCACGTTCTTCGGGGTGCACGCCCCCTCGGCCCAGAGATTTTTTTTCTCCAGCTAAAAATGAGTAAGATGAAATAACGGGATCGAGGGAGAGGAATGCTGGTTTTATCCTTTTTGTTGTTGCCGTTGTTAATATTTGGGGTTTTTAATCAGTTGGAAGTGTTTGGAGAAAGGGAACGTTGAGATTTGGGGAGTTAGATTCTTCCAGTTACATGTTGCGAGTAGTTTTTATTTCCTGGAAATTCTGGTCACCCTTTGAAAAGGGAGGTTTAGGAAGCCTCAATCATTAGGACGTTGACAGCCAAATTAGATTAATTCAGACCTACCTTAAGTAGGCTTTGTTCTCACCATTCCCTTGTTTCGAGTTGCTTCCAGATTATTTTGGAAGAGGTCTTAACTACAAATAAGGCTTCGTATTTCACAAATAATCTGCACACAGGAAATACATGGTTTAGGTTTTTTGGTGTTTTTGTTGGGTTTATTTTTTGCTAGCTTTGTGATTCTTTTTTTGTCTTAAGTTTAAGCAGGAAAGACATAATGGTAATTATGTTAGCGTCTAGAGAAATTTTCCCTTTACGTCATTTTGACATTAGTTAAGGCATTCGATATTTGTGACTTTTTCAGCCCATATTTGCCTTCTGTTAAGTGTCTAAACCTGTCGCTAAAATTGGGGAGTAAAAATAAGTGCTTGGTGTTTTTCAAAGTAAAACAAAAAATAGCAATGCTTATATACAACCTAATGCTGTTGTACCTTTTATGAAAAACTAAGGCTATAGATGAAAACAAAGTTCATTCCCAACAACATCGAATGTCTGTTGTTGTTCTGTTAATGTAAACTGCGTTTTTTATCTTTCAAATTCTCGAACCTAGCTTTCCTTTATCAAAAAGATATATTGCCTATACACCTTAAGGACTTGAACATAAACATTTGAGGTCTTTTTGTGATGTTTTAGGTCTGAAGATTTACGGCGTGAATTTGGTCGTTATGGTCCTATAGTTGATGTGTATGTTCCACTTGATTTCTACACTCGCCGTCCAAGAGGATTTGCTTATGTTCAATATCCTTTCTTCAGATGGCTGATTAGTGAGGGGTGTTGAAGTTTGAAATTCAAGTTTATGTAAGTGGTAACATCTAAAAAGTGGTTTGTTTTTGTCCTCTAATGTCTGTGTCTTCAAATTTTTGAAAATTAATTCTGACTCACACATTGCTCTTGTTGTTTCTTAAAGTTAATCCAAAAATGGTAAAATATTTAAATTCCCATTCATGCTTCTGAAACTCAAATCAATGATTATATGTGTGATTTAAATTTGAATGCACTCTGGTTGCTACTACCTTTAAGTCCATTGAAAGTTAATATGTTCTTGTGCTTAGCAATTAAAATTTGGTATTCTTGTTTGTTAATTTGAATCACTTGATCAAAAACAAATTGTATAACAATGAGGTAAACTTCTTTAATATTGTCCCCTAATTTGCTGTCCTCTGTTGTTACCTCAGAGAATGTAAAGCTGTACAGTTATGGCGACCCCAAAGAGAAAGCATGAAAGAACCTTTAGAGTAGAGTTCAACACTTAAGGCAAGTAGACAAGCCAAAGACCTCTTAAGGATCAGGCTTGAAGAGAAGGGAGAGTTTGGGAAAAGAAAAAATAAAGAAAAGCTGGAAGAAGGACAAGCCTAATGGGAGACAAAGCCTCGCTTTATCTACAAAAGGGGGAAAAGGTTGTTTTTCAAAGTTAAAGATAAAGCCATCTGTCATATTTGGCCAAGCATCTCATGACAAGTCCTTCTGACAAGCACTTAAAGAGTTAAAGGTCAAGATGAAGTTGAATTGAATGATGGCCAAGATTAAAGGAGTCATACCTGATGTATCCTACAGAATAACTATTTTTCTTTTCTTTTTTTTTTTTTTTTTTTTTTTTTTTTTTTTTTTTTTTTTTTTTTTTTTTTTTTTTTTTTTTGTAAGCAGTTAATTTTCAAAATTATTCTGGTTTGGTCTAGTGACAAAACCTATAACTTGGTTTGTGTGGGCCTTTGATGTTGTGATTGTGGTCTTGTATAAATGCACTCTCTCTTAAAGCTAAAGTGTAACAGGATGTATATTGTTAAGATTAAATTCAGCATATTTTGATTTTGGACCCGGTGGTCAGATGTCACAGAGTAGCAGGCAGCGCTCTTTGGAGTAGCATGGGGTTCTGGGGTTAAGCCACAGAGCCCTGCTTAAAGGAGAGACAGGTGTATGCACTGGGGACTACTTAGAAACAGCTTGGGTGGTCTTACAGGGTCAGAGCCACTAGAAATTCTGTTTATATATAGATTTTAAAGTGCTTGCTGGGGACACATAAACCCTTAACTTCTGGAATTTAGCCCTGTGAAGACTGCTAGCCCTGTGCTCCTTTATCGAAAATGATAAGTTGGCCCTGAATGAGTTGCAGAAGGCATTCTCCCTAATGTAGATGCCTAATTGGGACCTATGAGAGACTGGTCCCTGACCCAGAGTTTCAGGTGATCTTACTTCCTCCTTTAAGTGTGAGATCATCTCCCTGCAACAAGGGTTTGGGTTGTGGACCTCAAACTAGGAAAAATTCTTCCTGCTTAAATTCAGTGGGCCTCCTGAAACTTACAATACATTAGTGGAGTCCTTGTGAGACAGGGAAAAGCCAAAAACTACTCCTGCAGGGCCAGCTGTCAAGGACAATTGTGAGAATTGGTTGCAAACCTGTATTATAGAGAAGATAATTGCTGTATCTGGCTTTTTTTTTTTTTTTTTTTTGAAATGGAGTTTCGCTCTTGTTACCCAGGCTGGAGTGCAATGGCGCGATCTCGGCTCACCGCAACCTCCGCCTCCTGGGTTCAGGCAATTCTCCTGCCTCAGCCTCCTGAGTAGCTGGGATTACAGGCACGTGCCACCATGCCCAGCTAATTTTTTGTATTTTTAGTAGAGACGGGGTTTCACCATGTTGACCAGGATGGTCTTGATCTCTTGACCTCGTGATCCACCCGCCTCGGCCTCCCAAAGTGCTGGGATTACAGGCTTGAGCCACCGTGCCCGGCCATATTTGGCTTATTAAATGAAGGTAGCAGTACATTCTGTCTTACAGTATAAACCTAATTTTACCTAGTGTTGGGTGGCCCAGGAATCAAGGTCAGTAGTAGTTTTGATTCAAGACTATGTGATACTTGAGGCAGAAAAGGGTAGTAATTCAAAGCAATCTAAAGGAGAATGATAATTTTTAATACATATTCAGTAAGTCTGTGGTCTTAAAATAGATGAAATAACAGGCTTATCAGTTTCATTTTTGAAAAGACCATAAAGTACAAATTTCTCCATGACTGACATCAGAGTGATGCTTAGCTGCCTTTGCTGCTACTGTCTCTGACTCAATTCCCAGTTAGCCTTTTCTTCCTATCCCTGGCTTACCGAGTACAGTAGAAACTTGCCATCAGCCCAGGATTCTGTTTTTGAGGATAGCCCCAGAGAGGATGCTCTGCTCTCATTAATAATTTTTATGGCTCTCAATAGAAATCCTTTTTATACTTATATTCTGTCTCCTGGGGTAACAAAGTAGTATACCCATTAAGTGAACTTACTCCTTCTAATTAGTTTAGAGCCCAGCTGCATTAACCTTGAGGGATGTTCAGTTACAGTATTCAAGGTTCTAAATTCCCCGTCAGCCTTTGCCTTTTCATGTTGAAAGCCCAGTTATTTAAACCTTGTCCTTCCATTTAATCTATTCATAATGGCCTCAGGAAGAGAGAGCTGGAAACCTGCAGTCCTTAATTCCGTTCAGAACAAAGAGTGAATAGTAAGGCAGACCTTTTAGTCTCTAAAATAAAAGAATACCAGTATCAGTCTCAAAAAAGAAGTGTACAATTTATAAAATACCTCTCCAAATCTTCAGTTTTGTGTTGTCTCAAATTTAGGAAATAAAAATGTGCAAACTAGAATAGTGATTTTTTTAGGATAGAATGAAACTCTATACCCGGACCTAACCTAGCTCTCTTTCCAAACCATTGGTACCAAACACTGCCTTGAATGTGTGCTTCACCTCTGTCATGATGATGCTTTTAGGAAAGGAGCTAGGTTTGGACAGAATAACTATGTAAAGCCAGGAGTTCTCATAGTATCGTTGCTGACATGACCAGGGAAGACAAAGGGCTTAGCTTCTCAGATCAAAAACAAGTACCAGCAGTTCCTGCTTAAAGCTGGTAAATAATACCTTGAAATTCTCAAGTTAGAAACCAGTCTCAAACCCATTTCTTTGCAAGAAATTGTATATTTCGGATCATGGTTAGGGTTTTCCGGTCTAGGAGTCCTTACAGTGGTCTGTTGTTTCTTGATAGCATGCTTTTACAGTCTGCATGGACGTAATAATGCTTTTGGTATAGTGATTGTCTTTAGTACTGCTTGACTCTGTCTCGATGCCCACAAATGGCTAGCATGCTTGTCTTCCCATGCAGTGCAAGGAAGACAGTAAAATAGTAGTATTAGCTATATATGAAAAAGAAAATAGCGAAATTAATTTGAGGTTAATACTTTCGTCTCTTGTAAGGTAAGGCATATACTGCTTGCTTACACAAGAACTATTGGCATTTTCTTTTTTTCATTTGAAACATACGAAAAAACAGTGTTTTGGTTTTAAGAAACTTTTAACATACAACATAGAACTGATATTTGTTTTTCTTTTTTGTAAACTTAATTCTTAAAACTTAGGAAAATTCTTGGATAGGAAGGACAACTTGGTGATTCAGCTATAACATCTTATTTCAATAATCACTTTACTGCAATATGTATTCATACATTTTCAAATGTGTGCCTTAGGAAATCACAAGTGCTTTTATACTGTGAAGTGTTAATGGCTGAATCCAACTGAATCACCAACTAGTAAGTGGGGTCTGGTTGATTTTCTGGAATAATACTGGGAGATTGTGAATTGTTCCAGACGTATGAACTGAACTTTCATTCATTATCAAAGTTTGCAAAACTTCCCAAGCCCCTTAACATTTAGCACATTTGAGGATGTTCGTGATGCAGAAGATGCTTTACATAATTTGGACAGAAAGTGGATTTGTGGACGGCAGATTGAAATACAGTTTGCCCAGGGGGATCGGAAGAGTAAGTACCCTTATACCTGATGTGTATGATGCATTATTTTTTAGGTAGTGTTTTGAGATTTTTTTTAAAAGAATTTAAGCAATTTGTGTATCTGTTCAAAACTCAAAAGGATCTTTTTTTGGGTTTTTGTTTTGTTTTGTTTTTTTGAAACAGCCTCACTCTGTCACTCAGGCTGGAGTACAGTGGTTTAATCTCAGCTCACTGCAACCTCCACCTCCTGGGTTCAAACGGTTCTCATGCCTCAGCCTTCTGACTAGCTGAGATTACAGATGCATGCCACCACACCTGGCTGATTTTTGTATTTTTAGTAGAGATGGAGTTTCACCATTTTGGCCAGGCTGCCCTCAAACTCCCCACCTCAAGTAATCGCACACCTCAGCCTCCCAAAGTGCCGGTATTACAGACGTGAGCCACTACACTTGGCCCAAAAGGATCATTTTTAAGAAAATGGGGTGTCTTGAATATTTCATCATATTTTTCAAATGTATTATAAAGTTTTGGAGAAGGTATAGGTGGGAGGTGGAGATCGTAGTGCCTGAAATATATCTAGACTCTTGTTTTTTACCTGCCTTCAGGTAATCTACCTGCCTCGGCCTCCCAAAGTGCTAGGATTACAGGCGTGAGCCACTACGCCCGGCCTTTATATCTAGCCTCTTCTGAAAGTTAACCAACTTAATGCAGGCTAACCAGATGTTTGCTGCATACTTATGAGGCAGGAGTACAGGTTTTAGAGTCAAATAGACCTGTGTTTGAATTCTGGCTTAGCCATTATGTTGTCTTGGGCAAGATACCAATTAAGAGATTAAAATAGCTGCTGAAGAGAAGAGCAACACTTGAGTAGACACAAACTATTGGTAACTGGTTCTTGAGTTGGGTAATAGATTCCTGGTTATGCATTAATGTACTCTAATATGTAAAATATCTGCTTCATTGAATTGAATGAGATAAGAATTGAAGTGTATATAAGGCATTTAGGAATGCCTTATTCTACTTAGGTTCTTACCACCTATAAATATTTTGTTGGGTTCCTAATGAATAGAATCCATGGCGGGATCATTCCAAATCAATACAGTTCAGTGGTCATTTTTTTCAACCGTTTAAGAATGTAAAATGGCAGCATGAAAATAAACTAATACTCTGTGGTTAGAAAAGAAATGTAAAATGGATGGATGTGGTAGCTCATACCTGTAATCCCACCATTTTAGGAGGCCTAGGCAGGAGAATTGCCTGAGCCCAGGAGTTTGAGACCAGCCTGGGCAGCAAAGTGAGATCCCTGTCTTTACAAAAAAGAAAATAAATTAGTCAGGCGTGGTAGTGCATACCTATGGTCCCAGCTAGGCAGGAGAATCAGTTGGGCCCAGGAGGTTGAGGCTGCAGTGAGCCATGTTCCACAACTGTACTCCAGCCTGGGTAACAGCAAGACCGACTCTCAAAAAGCCACTCACTCCCATTTTGAGTTTAAAAAAAATCCTTTTATGGTATAGGTTCCCAGTGTTGGAATAGTTGGCAGGTCTTGGCTAACAAGCTAGGTGGTGAAAGATTTTGAAAATAGTTGGAGATAGGGCTGGGCACGGTGGCTCACGCCTGTAATCCCAGCATTTGGGGAGGCCATGGTGGGCAATCACAAGGTCAGGAGATTGAGACCAGCCTGGCCAACATGGTGAAACACCATCTCTGCTAAAAATACAAAAAATTAGCTGGGCGTGGTGGCGAGCACCTGTAATCCCACGTACTTAATAGGCTGAGGCAGGAGAATCACTTGAGCCCTGGAGGCGGCGGTAGCCACTGAGATTGCACCACTGCACTCCAGCCCTGGCTACAAAGTGACTCTTGTCTCAAAAAAAGTTGGGTATAATCGAGTATTATTTTTAACACAAAACAGTCTTCTAGTATATTTTCTTGAAAATAAATACATAGGTCGGGTGGGCGGATCACCTGAGGTCAGGAGTTTGAGGCCAGCCTGACCAACATGGAGAAACCCCATCTCTACTAAAAATAAAAAATCAACTAGGCATGGTGGCGCATGCCTGTAATCCCAGTTACTCAGGAGGCTGAGGCAGGAGAATCGCTTGAACCCGGGAGGCACAGGTTGCGGTGAGCCAAGATCACACCATCTCACTTCCACCCTGGGCAACAAGAGCGAAACTCCGTCTCAAAAAAAAAGGAAAAAGAAAAACATGCCTTTTCTAAGGTCAATATTTGCAGTTAACTTCAACCCAACCTAGGCTAAATCACTTTCTGCATCTGCATCTCACACCAAAACTATAAGACACCTCTAAAACAGACTCCAGGCTGGGTACAGTGGCTGACACCTGTAATCCCAGCACTTTGGAAGGCTGAGGCGGGCAGATCGTTTTAGGTCAGGAATTTGAGACCAGCCTGGCCAATATGGTGAAACGTGTCTCTACTAAAATGCAAAAATTAGCCAGGTATGGTGGCACGTTTCTGTAATCTCAGCTACTCAGGAGGCTGAGGCAGAAGAATGGCTTGAACTGGTGTGGGGTGGAGGTTGCAGTGAGCTGAGATTGCACCACTGCACTCCAACCTGTGTGACAGAGCAGGACTCTGGTCTCAAAAATAAAATTAAAAAAAAAAAAAACACTCCAAAACACACACTTTGTTATTGTTATTATTTTTTTAGAGACAGGGTCTCTGTCCCCCAGGCTGACATGCAGTTGTGTGATCACGATTCCTGCATCCTCAAACTCATGAGCTCAAGTGATCTTCTCACCTCAGCCTCCCAGGTAGCTGGAATACATATGTGAGCCACCAGGCACAGCTAATTATTTTTTGTAGCAATGGGATATTGCTATGTTGCCCCAGGCTGGTCTCAAACTCCTGGCTCAAATGATCCTCCCACTTAAACCTCCCAAAGTACTGGGTTTACAGGTGTGAGCCACCATGCCTGGTCATACACACTCATGCAGAGATTTTTTTACCCTATTTATTGAGGGCTTCAGTACTGTTTTTAGTATTTCTAAGTATTTCTGTTACTTGTATTTCCTAGCACCAAATCAGATGAAAGCCAAGGAAGGGAGGAATGTGTACAGTTCTTCACGCTATGATGATTATGACAGATACAGACGTTCAAGAAGCCGAAGTTACGAAAGAAGGAGATCAAGAAGTCGGTCTTTTGATTACAACTATAGAAGATCGTATAGTCCTAGAAAGTAAGTGTGATGCGTAAACACAGTGATCTGTTTAAAAAAAGATGTATTTGTTAGCATTTAATTTTTTTTTTTACCTTTTTGTATGCTTTTAATTATATACGTTGAATGTTTCATTGAGACAAAAAAATCTTTTAGCATTTTAAAAGTTTTATGGCTGGATGCAGTGGCTCACGCCTGTAATCCTGGCACTTTGGGAGGTTGAGGCGGGCAGATCACCTAAAGTTGGGGGTTTGAGACCAGCCTTACCAACATGGTGAAACCTCATCTCTGCGAAAAATACAAAAATTATCCGGGCGTAGTGGTGGGCGCCTGTAATCCCAGTTACTTGGGAGGCTGAGGCAGGAGAATCGCTTGAACCCGAGAGGCGGAGGTTGCAATGAGCTGATACTGCGCCATTGGATTCCAGCCTGGGTGACAGAGTGAGACTCCATCTCAAAAAAAAAAGAAAAGTTTTATGGTTTGCTTTAATTAGAAATTTTGCCTCTACAACTAGATATTTGTCACTGCTTTTTCTGATATGCTTTTTAGCAGTAGACCGACTGGAAGACCACGGCGTAGCAGAAGCCATTCCGACAATGATAGGTAAATAACTTTGCTTTGAAAAAGACTCATGTGTTTTTTAATTTCAGAGTGAACTTTTGCTCTAAAAGTAACAAATTTGATTAATATAGAATCTAATTTTTACTCTAATTATATCTCTCCTCTGTTTTGAAAGATTCAAACACCGAAATCGATCTTTTTCAAGATCTAAATCCAATTCAAGATCACGGTCCAAGTCCCAGCCCAAGAAAGAAATGAAGGCTAAATCACGTTCTAGGTCTGCATCTCACACCAAAACTAGAGGCACCTCTAAAACAGATTCCAAAACACATTATAAGTCTGGCTCAAGATATGAAAAGGAATCAAGGAAAAAAGAACCACCTAGATCCAAATCTCAGTCAAGATCACAGTCTAGGTCTAGGTCAAAATCTAGATCAAGGTCTTGGACTAGTCCTAAGTCCAGTGGCCACTGATAGTATAAACCATGGTCATTTTTAGGCATGTATCATTTACTCATAGTTTGGTTTACTTAAATTATCAGGAATACAATGTTGCAATGATGCTTAAAAAACACTTGTTAGTTTTCCCTGTACCAGGCAATGGTTATAATTAAAATGATATGCTGTTGAGAAGCCACTCTTAAGAGTCCAGTTTGTTTAATGTTATGGGCAGCTACCAATTTGTGGTGTCTCTGTATATTTTTGTAAAGATTCTCATTTTTTATGCTTGAAGTATTTGGTGAAAAGATGTTGGTTGACCATAATTTGCAACATTGTCTCATTAAAAATAAACTTTCATATTCATATTTGGTAGAACTGTTAACCTAGAAATGTAGCTTGCTAATAAGATAGAATGATACAAAAGTGAAGTAGTAGCCACAGTACAGCACTGACTGCTCAGACACACTTAGGTTCAGGGTGGGCCTTTATGTCTTGTCAAAATGTCTAGGCCCGGCCGGGCGCGGTGGCTCACGCCTGTAATCCCAGCACTTTGGGAGGCCAAGGCGGGTGGGGTCATGAGGTCAGGCGTTCGAGACCAGCCTGACCAACAGGATGAAACCCCCTCTACTAAAAATACAGAATTAGCTGGGTGTGGTGGTGCACGCTTGTAATCCTAGCTATTTGGGAGGCTGAGGCAGGGGAATTGCTGGAACCTGGGAGGTGACAGTTGCAGTGAGCCAAGATTGCGTCACTGCACTCCAGCCTGGGTGACAAGAGTGAAACTCCATCTCAAAAAAAAAAAAAAAAAAAGAAATGTCTAGGCCCATGATAATTACTTACGATGAAGTGTGGATTAGTTCTTTTGTTAACCCCACTGTCTTTGGGGAATGATGCCAGCTGAGTTAGGTCATATTTTCAGGGAGATTGAGTTTTTGACTGAAACATGAAGCCTTCACTGCTTTTTTTCTGGTTCCTGTGAAGATTTGGAACATAGAAAACACAGAAACTTATCTTAAAATTTGAGCAGGTTGATGATGGCAAAAATAATTTTAAGGAGAAAGGAATATTCTTACGTAGTTATTCTAAAGTTTAAGGAACGTTGTTGACCATAATATTGCTTAGTTTTCTTACTGCTGTTAGAAGGGAGTAAATTGTTTCAAAGTAGGTTTTGTGTGTGTGTGTGTGTGTGCATAGTGTAAAAGAACTGAAATTTTTTGATGCTTACAGCACTTGGCCTGTGCATTTGTATCAAAATTTGCCTGCCTCTTTATGAGCGAGGCCTGCTTTTCACACCTCAGTTTATTTAATATGAGGCAAGTTGAAAGACAACACTCATACTAGGCAATTCTGTGGTGCCATGAAATTTAAAATAATTTTGGAAAAAGGATTAGTCAGTTTTAAGCAAGAGTCACATCTTCTGAGTTTTTGATTATCAGTGTAGTACCTGACTAAAAATGAAGTAATACCCTTAACCATTAATAATTTCTAGTATTTTTCTGAAAGATCGTTTTGGGGACAAAAGTGACTTGACATGTCCAATTTCATTTCAGAATAAAAAGATAGCATCTTTAAAAATCAGATTGCCTGCTTACAGATATAAGTAAGAATTATGGAGAAACAATTCCTTTTAGAGGATTACTTTTTTCAATTTTGGTTTTTGGAATCTAGGCTTTGCCTGTAAAGAATAAAACGATGGATTTTAAATACTGTTTGTGGAATGTGTTTAAAGGATCGATTATTCTAGAACCTTTGTATATTTGATAGTATTTCTAACTTTAATTTCTTTACTGTTTGCAGTTAATGTTCATGTTCTGCTATGCAATCATTTATATGCACGTTTCTTTAATTTTTTTTAGATTTTTCTGGATGTATAGTTTAAACAACAAAAAGTCTATTTAAAACTGTAGCAGTAGTTTGCAGTTCTAGAAAAGAGGAAAGTTGTGGGGTTAAACTTTGTATTTTCTTTCTTATAGAGGCTTCTAAAAACGTATTTTTATATGTTCTTTTTAACAAATATTGTGTACAACCTTTAAAACATCAATGTTTGGATCAAAACAAGACCCAGCTTATTTTCTGCTTGCTGTAAATTAAGCAAACATGCTATAATAAAAAGAAAATGAAGGAAATAATGATTAACTGGAATTATTACAGTATTGAATATGATTCTAAAATAACAATGGAAACAATCCTTTATAGATTTAGGAATGTTTTTGATCAGTGTTGCACTAGGCACAAATAACTTTTACTTTGGAAATGGTAGAACTTGCCAGAAAGGTACATCTTTTACACAGTAGTTAAAAATTCATTGTGTAATGTCAGAGTTGTTTAATGATTGCTCATTAAGCCTCTTGGGTTAACTTTAGAGGTTCTTTGGTAGTGTTAAGATAAAATTTGGATCAGCTAATTCTAAGTGTTTACTTTCGTATTGGATGGATCAGTAATTCTCTCCCTCTTCATAAACAAATGCATTAGAACTTAATGTTTATGACATGATTTTAAATCAGTTTGAATTGAATGTTGATGAGCAGCTAATACTAAGTGATAACCTCTTCAGGGAAGTAGGTTGTGGTTTGAATTCCATCTACTTTATGACAATTATAGCTGATAATTTATTAAGTATTCATGATGTGCCGGGCACTTGAAAAGGCTATGTGTTAACTCATTTACTCTTCACAAAACCCTATGATATACTTGTATTTTCCCCCTATCACAGATAAGGAAACTGAGGCACAAAGAAAAGACTATGAGGCAGAACCAGGATTTGAGCCCAGGCCTGGTCCTTAGTTATTTTTGTGGGGAGGGGTTTGTTTTGTTTTACAGACTGTAATTTGAGAGAAGTAGATTGAGGAGATAGCTCATTGAAATTGTTCATTCTCCGGGGCCTGATTTTATTTTTATTTTTTACTTATGTCAACTTGTTTTTAAACATGGACTATTGAGAATCTTATATGTTGTTTCTAAAGTGACACACCCAACAGCTTCAAAAGGACTGTGTTACAGTTGAACCTGTGGTAGTTTGGATGGATCCTACTGGTACTTGATGAGGATCTTTACATAGTGTTTTATGTTAGTTTTGGGTGATGTAGTTGAGTCCCCCACTTAATTGAGTGTACCTACTATGTTTGTGGTACTGGGCTCAATAATAGTAATAGAATGGTTATATCAACACTCAAATGAGGGCTGACACATTTCACCTCTCCTTTTACTTAAGATCTCTCTGCATTTTTTTTTTAAAGCCCAGTAAGCAAGAAGAAAAATGAGAGATAATGCTTCAGTGAGAGAGGAAAGGTGCTACATAGAGTATGAGCTGTTAAGTTACATCCCAGGGGAAAGACCTGGGAACTATTGTATTATTCTCTTGAAAATTTGGCCCAGTAAGCTGCTACATCCAGTTCAACTAACAAAATCCTGTATACCACAGAGAAGAATAAAGAAAACCAAACTGACAAACATCCTTCTTTTATTTAAGACCAAACTGCAGCTGGAATACCCAGTACAGTTCTGCTTACTACACATCAAGAAAGATCTGAAAGCGGAAAAAGAACCAAAGAAGGGCAGTTCAAGCGACCAAAGGGTGGGTGGAAGGTGCTGCAGTATGAATACTGTACGAATATTTTGACTCTGGTCTGAAAAGATAAAAGAATGTTATCGAAAACTATGTGGAATAATTGAAGTCCCTTCAAGTTTGAAAGTAAGCATTTTAGGACAAATAAAAGGAAATTCAACTTTGTACTTGTGGAAACTAATCCCTAAATATGAATAGGTTTATATTGATTCGTGGGTACCAGATCCATAACAAATTATTGGAAAATAGGATGTCTGAATATCAAGGAAGACAGCCATAGTCTCTTACAGTGCCTCTGTTGGTCTGTCTCAAACTGAATTGGGTGGGAAAAGGCATGGTCCAATATAAAAGTTCCATTTTGGCCATTATTGGCAAATCTTGCCTTTGTTTATTTTGGTGCCAGTGTTTTCTGCTTAATCATTTGCTTTGTTGGCATCTGCATTTATTTACTTGTACACCACATGGCAGTTTACATCTTCCTTAACTACTCTCCATCCCAGGTAAATTCGAATTACATTTGACATCCAGCTAAGAGGGCCCATCTCTTCTCACCTCTTTACTAGTCAATATGTCCAGCAAATATTTATTGAGCCCTTACTATGGGCAAATCATTGTACTGGATAATTGAGGAGAAAAATAATTCCCTTATTCGGTAAATGTCTACTGAGCACAATCTAGTGAATCATTACAGTATCACCTCGTTGTTTTGTTTGAGGTATATTATTCGTAACAATATTTTACACCATTCATATCTTAATGTAATTATAGAACCCAATATGCTATCAAGAATAAGTAATTATGTGGTTATTCTGCCATTTAAAAGTATCCAGTATTTGTTTGATACCAATATTACAAATAATGAAAAAATGATTTGTTTTAATCTGTAATAAACTGGTTTATTGTGCAGTGACTGTAATATACTAGAGTTATATTAAAGTGTTCGCTCTGCCTCACCAAACACATACTAGGAAATAACCCCCAAAATAAGTATTTAACTTTGCATTAGATAGAAAGGATACTGGGTGCTATAATTAGATTATTTTGAGGCAGACAGCTGTTATCCCAACTGATTTAGTATGTTCTGTAATTGAAAAAATGTTCACCAAATTATACTTTTTAGTGATTTACATGTACATTTTATAGGGGACATGTTCTGTGTATAGTGAATAAATAACTTTTATAGTATCACGAAATGTTTTGGATTCCTTAGTTTCTTATTAGGATGTTTCTTTACCTATGCATTGATTCCATCATGTTTGATTTTTGTCTTCTTTTTGCCACATATTTAAAACTTTCCATGTAAAATTATTAACTAAAAATCTGGAAGTGGAGTTTAAGCTTTTAATTTATAGCAATTTTGAAAATACAGCAGAGGTATATTTTCAAGGGAGGTATGAAATGGTACTTTTGTCTGTATTTCATAATTTTTTTTTTTAACTTGCCCAGGATCACACAGCAAGTGTCAGATCTTAGGTTCAAGTCCATAATTTTTTCGCTTGCTTCATCTTTTGTTATATTTTTGTTGTTGTTTAATCAAACGGGGAAATGTTTTTATAGCTTTATTTTCATGGAGATAGTAAAATTGATATAATGGGAACTAGAATTTACTTAGAGCCAAAATGACTAGATTTAATTACAAAAAGTATTTTGTTGTATACAGTTACACACTCATTAACATAGTGGGTGGTTCTTATGGATAGAGGTTCTCTGTATTTTTAAAAGAATATGTAGAGTTCATAAACGTTTTTTGCCCTCTACCTCCCTTCTTTCTCCATTTGCTTTTGAATTAAGACATTTAAGGGGGAGAGTTAAGTTGCATATTGAGTTGGGATTTTGTTTAAAAATAGGTGAATACATATATAAATACAATAACAATAGTTGGTAGTTCTCTAAAATATTGTAAGTCAGAAAAGGACCTTTAATTTTTGCATCTGTTGAATGAATTGCTTTCGGATCTCTTCTGTGGTTGTTTCTCTTTATATTGAATGCTGTCAATATTGTTGAGGACTTACTGTGCCAAACCATGTGCTTTTCAAATATTTAATTCTAAAAACACTCCTGGGAAGTGGGTATTATTCCCATTTTACAGATGAGAAAATTGTCCTTTGTGGAATACCCACCATGTGATAGCATCTTGCATATGTTCATTCCTCACAACTTTACAAGGTAAATGGATAATGTTCCTGGATGAGAGATTAAATATAATCCAAGATCTCACGGCTGTGTGGCTCAGAGACTCTAAGCATGGCTTTCCAAATCTCATTCTCTTGTAGAGATTTTCCATTGTATTGCATTTTGACGATATTCTTGTTTACAAAACCTAAGAATATATTCTGATGTAGGGAGGCTGTGACTTGAGCAATAGCTTAGGAATGATCTAATGGCGTTTTACTAGGAAGGAGGACTAGCAAAACCTGTAGAAGTCCCAGGCATGAACTGTTCTCATTTTAGATAGGATGACTTGATAAATAGGGTGAAGTGAGCAACGTGTTTTGTCTTCAGTTATTGATACCTACAAGACATTCTGCTGGTCACCGTGGAAAAGGTTCCTTCTCAGATTTTTTCCTCTGCTCCTTCCTCTAACAGTGTTGGTTATCTTTATTATGTTTCTGTGTATTTGTAACAGCTATTGCACCCTTGTATTGCACAATGGGGATTTTTCTTGGAATAAAAAGTGAGGCATGTAAACTCATTGAGAACTAACAGTAGTTTGTAAAGAAGTAAAAGGACTTTGTATCTAGTTTTTTGCAGATCACATTTCTTTGAATGCTGGAAAGTGAAATAAAGTGGTCTAGGAGCCAAAAAAAATGTTGGTTTTTTTAAGATTTTGCTCTACCTTAGATTTGTTACCACCCAGGTACACTTTTTCCTAATTTGTATAAGAGGTTTTAGAGATGAACTCTGTCCCTCTCGATTTACAAAGCAATTGCCTACGAGAGAATGCAACTAAAACAGTAGAAACAAACTTACACAAAACCTTTCAGATTTTTTCCTGTCTTGTTTTAGGGAAGAAGAAAATTTATCAGTATGTATTTTAAGCTTAAGGTTTTTGACCTGGATTCTATCATAGTATAAACTGCCATCAAAAAGATAAATTGAAATTACTTTTTTTTTTTTTTTTGAGACGGAGTTTCACTCGTTACCCAGGCTGGAGTGCAATGGCGCGATCTCGGCTCACCGCAACCTCCGCCTCCTGGGTTCAGGCAATTCTCCTGCCTCAGCCTCCTGAGTAGCTGGGATTACAGGCACGCGCCACCATGCCCAACCAATTTTTTGTATTTTTAGTAGAGATGGGGTTTCACCATGTTGACCAGGATGGTCTCGATCTCTTGACCTCGTGATCCACCCGCCTCGGCCTCCCAAAGTGCTGGGATTACAGGCTTGAGCCACCGCGCCCGGCTTTTTTTTTTTTTTTTTTTTTTTTTTTTTTTTTTTAAGACAAAATCTCACTCTAACTTCACCCAGGCTGGAGTGCAGTGGCACGATCTCAGCTCACTGCAAGCTCCGCCTCCAGAGAAGCTGGGATTATAGGTGTGTGCCACCACTCCTGGCTAATCTTTTCTGTATTTTTAATAGAGATGGGGGTTTCACCATCTTGGCCAGGCTGGTCTTGAACTCCTGACCTCGTGATCCACCTGCCTCAGCCTCTCAAAGTGCTGGGATTACAGGTGTGAGCCACCATGCCTAGTGAAATCACATTTCCTGAAGCTTCCCAGTATGGCCGATTTCACAATTGCATTGATTTGGGAAATTCTTACCACTATTCCCTATGTAGGCTAACCAAAACTTCTCAGTACCTTTCCTAAAGTATGAGGTGTTTATACGGTTACTTTTATTCAGGTTACCTTTAACCTGCTAAAATTTTTACAGGTAACCTTTTTTCACTCCTACTTCATTCATCCATTTTGAGTCAAACCAAAAACCTAGTGTATTCAATATATAGCTTAAAAACAAACAGCTAGGCTGAGATGTGTTCAGTACGCAAAGTTCAATTTTGCAATCCTTGGCATTTTTCACAGAAATTACCCTGGAAACAAAAAATGAAGGCTGAAATGTTGGCTCTGCCTTAACTCCAGCTTGCATGAAAAGATAGCTTTGCTGTGGGACTAGTAGAATTTTAAGGATTACTCTCAAACTGGTTTTAAGATGCCCTATCATTTGGAACCTGTATTAGAAAGCAGGTGTGGTTGTGATGCTTTTCTTCTGAGGGTCCCTTGTGTATACTTTTGTCAGCATATTTAAAACACGAGGGTTCTTAACTAACCTAGATCATAGAATTAATGTTCAAAAGCTTTGCAACATTTTCCATGTGTGGCCTTTTTCTATATCAGCAAACTAGTTGCTCCCTTTCAAACCAAAATTCCTGTCACATTTTAGTTGCAACCAGCCTTTTTTTATAATCAGATATTTAGTGGCTTATAGTTCTGAAGTCTGAGAAGTCCAAAGAGTTGTGAGCATTCTGAGAATATATAAGCTTCAAGTCAGTGACAAGTAGAACACATTTTTTAAAAATATTAGGTAATCAAAACCATGTTTAAAATAAAACCAAGCCAGTGGGGGAAAACAATTTTATTTAATTTTATGCTTCAAATTCATATATACATAAATTTGTCTTTAGGTTATCAATATTTAACTTGGGCAGTACTTCATCTTGATTTGGAGAAATACACCTTAGCCATCTGCTTACCTGCTTAGGCATCAAAAGAGGTACCAATTGAGAAAATAGGTCATTAACAAAAATTTTTAACTGACCCACATGCTTTTTAAACTTGCTATTGGTTTCACTATATTTAAGGATTTACTCTTAAGGTTGGCAAAACATGTTATCAATGTATTATGCAGGAGTTTGTCTTTTGCATAAGTAGTCTGTTGGATTGCCACCCACCCTTGACCAAAGAAAAACCAAACCCCACTGGCACCATACTCTAAACCACCTGTATCCTAGGTTAGAAGATTGTGAAAGCCAAAAATCTGTAAGGTTGGAGGGGACCCTTTAGTTAATCTTTGGGCTTAGAGGAGGAAAACAAAATAGTCCCATACTGCATTTCACGTCTCTTAAAAATAGTTTTAGCAGCTTAAACCTTTTTAGTTATAAAACTTATCACACTAGGATTTGCTTTGAAATATAGTTTACAACCAAATCAAGTATAATATACATACACTGGCACTTCAGCACAAGGGCACACTTTAAAAAAAAATTATTTTGGACCTTTAAAACTAGGCCATACTATAAAAAACAGTCCACGGTCTTACATTCAGCAAATTCATACTAAAATATCCCATTTTTGTAAGATAAAGGCCAAGAAAACTTTACATATGCTACAAGTTCATTACAGGTATTTACATGGCTCTTTCTCCCCTAGGTAATTAAAATTTTCACATTATACAGCTCCCCAAAGCCAGCTTTGCAGGAATGATGAGGCCAGATCACTATTAGAATAGCTTGTGCAGTGCTGTAATACAAAAATGTATTTTGAAAGCTATTGAGTGACCATTAAATACTGTTAAAAAATGGTTTTGGTGTATTTGTTGGCAGACACTTAATCCGCTACATTTAATAAACAGGGCCATTGGGGTGTACTATGTCTCATTCTAATGAGCTCCAAATGCCCTTTCCACCCACTGTATAATTCACTAAAATACAATTATTTAAGGAAAATTCACATTTTCTTTCAGCAGTGCATCAGATTGTTAGCATACTACAGATTTGGGTGTTTCCAGTATACTAAACTTGCAGATGTTTACCTAATTCTGAATCCTTGTGTTGGACGCTTATAATGTGATTCACCAACACAACAATCTGGTCCATGAATGATAAATTACTATCTTCCCCTAACAATAGAAAAAGCTGATTCCTATACCACTCCCCAAATCTAAACTTGGCTGGTTTCCCCTTAAAAGTTACTCAGTTGAGGACACTTAATATCAAGTACAATTATTTAGTTTTCAGTTGCACTGATACTACCATTACATCACAGTGCACACAACACATACATGAGATGCATTCTATATTTTTTACATTAATTAGCAGTTCTACACAAATAGATGAACTCCCTGGCGAATTTGTTTCAGACCAGTTGACAACTATCCATAAACATAACTAAATTTAAGCGTAAGTACTTTGTCTTATTTTATACCTGTACTTTAAGTAAGGTTTTAAGTTGAAATGTCATTATTTCCTTGTCTGAAGGATTAAAGGAAACAGGGACCCAGTGGCTTGGTGGTTTGGGAAGAACACTTGGTGATGGCGGCTCACTAAATTTGGCACCAGCATAGTTCTGATTAGCTTGAGATTTAAAAAGTAAGCTGGGACCTGATAAGCTAGAGTTCCAACTTTGATTATTTGGAAAATTTTTGTTCTTTCCCCCGTTTTGCATGGCCTGCCAAGCAGCTGCTGATGAGTTATAACCATGTCCTCTTTCTTTTTTCTTATGAACAATCTTCATCTGGGAATTCTGATCCTTGGTCTTCTGTCTGTTAAGCTGCTGTTGGTTCTTACTAACATTTCGAGATTGAGGCACTGGAATGTTATACCTCTCTCCACCACCCATCTTCAGCTTCTTTGTCACCTACAAATGAATGGAAACAAATATTGAGTAAAATTCCGTTAAGAAAAGTTTAGAATCTTTAAGAAGCTTCTATGGCTCCAACTTACAACTCCAGATATTTTGGACAAGACTCAGCAATAAGACTATTCAGCTGCTTTAACTCAAAAATTAAAGCAAGCTGTTCCGACTCCAATATATGCACAAGCTTTATTATGCCTTCCCTAAGAAAAATGAGCTTACCCACAAATCTGCAAAAAACAATTGGTTTCGGGTGGATCCATCATAAAATGTTTGCCCATTATGATGTTAATCTGCTTACCTCTCAGTCTGCTTTTCAGATTGCAGGATTTCCAATACCTGTCCTCTTCCTTGCTGCCAAGCCCAAGATAACAAGTGTTGCTTTCTGACAGATCCTTTCTTTTGTCTCAATACAGAAGTTTTCATGGGCCGATCTGCTGAGTTCACCCTAGGAGCTGAGGCCCACATCTGAGTCTCCTCAGCACACAAGTTTGAGAGAAGTCCTAGCTAGAGAAGTAAAGATTCCTTCATTATTTCCAAAACACGTTGAGAAAGTTATTTAGATTTACTATAAAAATCGTTGACTGTAAAAAAAGGCTACTTCCGGGCTGGGTGCGGTGGCTTAAGCCTGTAATCCCAGCACTTTGGGAGGCCGAGGCGGGTGGATCACGAGGTCAAGAGATCGAGACCATCCTGGTCAACATGGTGAAACCCCGTCTCTACTAAAA